CGCTGTGTCTCTCTCTGTCAAATAAATAAATAAAATATTTAAAAATAAATAAATAAACTACAGTATAATGTAAACATAAATTTAAAAAAAAAAAGATATAAAACACTTCATCATTTTAATAAATTTCCTTAAGCTCCTTTGTGGTCAACCCCCTTCTTCACCTCTAGGCCCTGGAAATGACTGATTTGTTTTCTGTCTCTATAGTTTTGTTTCTTCCAAAATGTGATATGAATGGACTCGTATGGTATGTATTCTTTTTAAGTCTGGCTTTTTCTTTCATTCAGCATAATTACCTTGAGTTTCATCTAGAGTTGCATATAGCTGTAATGTATATCAGTAGTTCAATCCTTTTTGTCTGAGTAGTATTCCACAAATTGTGTATCAGTTCATTAGGTAAGGGACATATATGTGTTTTCCAGGTTTTGGTGATCATGCATAAAGTCACTACAAACATTGGCATACAGGTTTTTGAGTGACTGTACATTTTCATTTCTCTTGGGTATATACCCAGAAGTGGAATTACTGGGTTAAATGATAAATGTATGTTTATAAGAAACTGCAGGGGTGCCTGGGTGGCTCTGATGGTTGAGCATCTGCCTTCGGCTCAGGTCATGATCCCGGCGTCCTGGGATGGAGCCCCGCATCGGGCTCCTGGCTCAGCGGGGAGCCTGCTTCTCCTCCCTCTGCCTCTCTCCCTGCTCGTGCTCTCTCTCTCTGTATCTGTGTGTCTCAAAAGAATAAATAAAATCTTTAAAAAAAAAATAAAAAAAAAGAAACTGCAAAACTGTTTTCCCAAAGGGACTGGGGCATTTTGCACTTTTACCAGCCACGTATGAGAATTCCAGTTGCCCTGCACCTTTCCTAGTACTTGGTATTATCAGGTTTTTTGTTTTGTTTTACCCATTCAAATAAGTAGTAGTGCCATGTCATTATGGTTTTAATCTGGATATCTCTGTGGCAGTGATGTCGAACATTGTTTTATGTATTTACTTGTAGTCTGTGTATCTTTGATGAAGTGTCTATTCAAGTCTTTTGTCAACTTGCATGAGAGAGGGAAGTGTTGCTTATTTTCTCAGCATTTAATTTTGAGAGTTACTTATAGATTCCGGATTCAAGTCCTGTATCAGTTATGTGCTTTGCAAATATTTTGGCCTAGTCTATGGCTTGTCTTTTAATTTTCTTAATTCTGTCATCCAAAGTACAGTTCTTTTTTTTTTTTTTTTAAGATTTTATTTATTTATTTATTTGAGAGAGAGAATGAGATAGAGAGAGCATGAGAGGGGGGAGGATCAGAAGGAGAAGCAGACTCCCTGCTGAGCAGGGAGCCCGATGCGGGGCTCGATCCTGGGACTCCAGGCTCATGACCTGAGCTGAAGGCAGTCGCTTAACCAACTGAGCCACCCAGGCGCCCCTAGAGTAAAAGTTTTTATATGAAGCTCATTAGCCTTATTCCCCCCTCATCTTTAATCTTAACATTTAAGGAAATTATCACAGACATAGCCAAATTCTAGGTACTTGCCAAAGTGAGATAATGTCTTTGTTTTGCAGGAAAAAGAAAGAAAGAAAACTACTTTTAGATTAATGCAATAATCTAAATGTGCAGTTTTCCTCTTTTAAAATACTGGAAATAAAAAAGGAAATGTAATAAAAAATACTGCCTACACTTTGAGCTTGAGAGAAACTTGCACTAATCCAAGGTAAAGCTCCTTTCCTTTTCTTCAGGTATTCTGAAAACACATGTACTATTTTTTCACCCCCTACTGAATGGATAACCAGTTACCAAATGCAGGTTTACCATGTGACCTCAGGAACATCACTTAGTCTCTATCTGTTCAATAAAGAAGTCTGATTATGCAAGAAAAATATTTATGGGTATATGTGCATTTTTCTAGAGAAAGAAACCATGGCTTTCATTATCTTTTAAAAAGAATCTCAGATTCCACCCTCTAAAAAGGCTAAGCAGCACTGAATTTCGATAATTACTTATAGTGCTAAAATAGTCAAATTCCATGCAAATATTTGTTGCTTATGAAGTAACAGGTATATTTCAGTAAACCCGAAGAATTGCAAAATCTTGAACAAAAGAGGGAAGTCAGAAGAGCAAAAAGGTTCGAGGGAAACAAGAATAAGGTTCTAGACAGTTTTCATACAAGATATAACATAATGTCTAGCAGAAAGTGAAAAATCTGGAACTCATTTTAACAAACATCTAATCAGGACTTTTTCAACACATAATACTCAAGTAGTTCACAATTTCAGAAAGGAGATGAGGCAACCATAACGCAAGGGAGAATGTGCTCAGTGCCACAAGAGGTATAAACAAAGAAGAGATCAAAGTCAGTTGTGAGGTGGGAAATCAGGGAAGGTTTTTATCGAGGTGGTTGCACTCGTGAAACAAAACAGCAAGATTTCAGCCAGTAAGAGGAGAGAATAAAAGGGAAAAGGAGGAGTTCAAGTGAAGGGAAATATCAAATGCTGTCACAAAAAAGATGCAGAAGGAAATGGAATAAAAAATACTGCCTACACTTTGAGCTTGAGAGAAACACTTCAAAGGGTGGGGGTTAGAGTTCAGCCCAGGGAGTGGGATCATATAATCTTGGCAATAGAAGGGATACCACAGCACCTCTTCACATTTCACAGTTGAGAATTTTTTGTCAATTAGGGAGGTATCTTAAGATGTCCCTTTAAAACAATCAGCCACCCTCATTGCTAGCCCAGAAATAAAAGCAAATACAACATATCCACCTCATAATCTTCACTTTTCACTAAACCTAGATCTGAGTCATTTTTGAACCCTCCTCACAACAGGCTACAAGCAGGAAACCCTTCTTCCCTCTCCTCACTCCCAAGCATAAGCTTTATGTTCCTAAGACATAATAGGAAATAAAGGAAATAACATTTTAATAGTGTTTCTCCCCACCACCCGAAGTAGCAATAATAAAAAAATAAGTGCCATATTCTATTAGCCAGACTTAAAAAAAAAAAAAGCCTAAGATCCCAGGAACCTGCCACTCACAACTTCACCTCACCCATTACTCAGTACCTCATCAGCTCCATCTGAATGCCTCTTTGCATTGTTAGAAATTGCTCCCATAAATATTATTATGCTCATAATAGATCACCAGCAGCTTGCCCTTAGAGTGCCCTTGGAACCAGAAGGGAAACTAAAATAAACAAAACCCTTCAGTAATGGCTCTACTGACAGGCAGCTCTACATCTTTACCATTCACACATACACGCCAACACAGAAAATCTCATACCCTGGGAATTAAGGCTGAAACCAGGCTGAAATCACACTGGAAGGATAATGAATGCCAAGTTATTAAGTTAGCATTTTAATTTAGCTGGTAATAAGGAATGGCTGAGATACCCAACAGGAAAATGATACAGAGCTGTGCTTTTGAAGGATGATGCTTACCACTGCAGGTAGGATGGTAAATTACATCAGGGAAAATAGGTTAGCAGGTTATGTTAACAACTCAGGAAAGCAAATTGAGGATCCCAACTCTAATGATGACAATGAAAAACGAAAAAGAAGAATGAATGATCTGGACAAGATTTAAAAAAAAAAACAAACCAACCTGTAGGAGTTGTCACTTATTTGGACTGAATGAGCTAGGATGACATGATACACAGACTAGAAAGCCCTGTGAGAAGATCCAGGAATTCCAGAATGCAGGAGTGAGACTTAACTAGAGATAGTCAACCTCTCCAAAACAGAGAACTCTAAGAAAACAGCAAGCTAAGGATAAAACCTTAAAAAATAGTCACATTTAGAGAGGAACAAAGGCTGGGAAGGGTGGGAGGGCAGCACACTTAGAGAAAGAGTGGTCAGGAGAACCAGGTAATTAAGTATTATCCCAGATGACAGCATTTCAAGGAGACTTATTATTATCACAAAATCAAAATACAAACTAATGAAAAAAAAGCCATGAGATTTGAGAAATAGGAGGTCATTCACAACCTTTAATAGTATAAAAACTGTATTTCAGGCCATTAAACAAGATGCAATAGCAGACTCAGCATGCTATTTTCAATGTGACAGTAACAAAGGAAAGAATGAAATTACTTATATAGAAAAAAAATTTATATTGTTAATGGTTAATAACAAAGCAACTCTAATGAGTTTTGAATTACCTCAGCAGTAAACAAAATAAATTTAAAGGAGCCAGCGGATCAAATCTCCAGAAAACAATGAAAACCTTAAATATCTAATAAAGACCCTAAGAATTCCCTTAAAGATACAAAAACCTAAAAACAGATTTCCATATGGAGGGCAAGGGCCACCATCACAAAAGAGATTTCTAAAATAGCACATGGTCTATGGTTATTTACCAAAACATATTCCTAACTTTTTTTGTTAACATAAGATTAAGAACCACCTACTGAACAAAAACAAAAATACATATAAAATATAAAAACATAAAAAATATATATATAAAAACATTCAAATGTTTTTTACATATTTAATGCTAATCACAATCAAACTCTAAATAGCTTCCCTTTTTTACATATCAAATTCCATAATAAAGTAGTTTTACTAAACAAATTCTAAACCTAATTCAACAATATTTATTATGAACAAATAACAGAATAAGAGTTTGCATTTGCTCTTGGAAATTACAAAAGAACAGCATCATTCTTGAAAAGCAGACTGTGTGCTACTTCAAAAGAAAACAACCCACTATGTTTAGTCTCAGATGTACCTGGATGTATATGATCTCTAGAAATTCTTTGGCAATACTAAATTAGGTTTGATTTATGGTACTACTATCAAGAAATTATAGTCCTAATTTCAAAAAATTACCAACAATATTTTTGTTCTGCTGGGAGAGGACACAGCCCACTCTTAAACAATATCAAGGTGGGGGGGGTGGTCCAAGGCTCCTGAAAAAGTGAGTATGAAAAGACTTTGAGAAAAAAATCACTTCTCTCAAGGAATGCTGGTTCCCTTAAAGTTCTATTTCATGACCTGGGTGTTGGTTATAAAATGAGTTGTTCGTAAAATTAACTGACCTAAACGCTTAGGATCTGTATACTACTCTGTACGTATGTAATTATTCAATATTTTTTTTAAAAAATTAGTCAAATTTTCTATTCTAGTGAGGAATTACCTGTTGTCATAGATCCATAACATGGCAATATTAACAAACCATCCAGAGTTGTATCTTGAACATCATAATCATAATCAACAGACTCTGCCATCTGAAAAAGTAACTCACAACTTTTTTCAATTTCAAACTGACCTGAAATGAGGGAGGGAAAATAATGTCAGCAACTGAACAGCAAAATTAATTTAAGAATGAAAAAAAGAGAAGTCTTCTGGATTATTTTTGCATAATAGCTATTTTCAATCTCATTTGATCTAAAGAAGATGAACACATAAATTGAACCAAATCTCAACAATAGAATTGAAAATAGAACACGAGTTTCCAAGGAATTTAAACCTCTACAGGAATAAAAATGTTTATAATCTTCAAGCCTATCATCTTGTTAACACAGTATTTGAGGAAGACTCAGTAAAGTTAATCATTAATATAGAAGAATCTAGTCCAGGAGATACTGCATTTAGGTGTATTTCAAAATACTTAAGTAACCGGAAAAAGGCAGAGACCATTACAATGTCTCACTTCTGACATCAGTACAAGGCAGAGTAGGAGGTGAGCGATAAAATGACTCATTTCTGTTAGTAGGATGCTGCTAATTGAAGAATCACACTAGTTTAGGATTTAATCTATTTTTGACTTCCAAAAAAGGCCTGTCTATGAGACACGGATTCAACACCTTATGTACTGCTATCACACAGTACCATCCCACCACTCAAAGAAGAAATGAATTAGTAAGATGTCTTTTGAAATAATGGAATTAATCATTCAGATCCAGGACTGTTTGGTATGGTAACAGCTCTATATAAGATAGGCTAATAAAATATTAATACTTTACCATTTAATATCTTTTTACTAAAAGGTCAGTGTGTTTTACATATGTTTACTCATGAGACTGGCAGTTTTTATGGCAGTATAGAATTATCTTATATATCTTAAATAAAATAGAATATCTAAAACTTTCAGATAATCATACAAAGCTAAGGCAATATGAGTTAAAGCCCAGTTTTTCCAACAAAAGTAACACTACTGTGATGCCACACTCTGCTCTTATATAAGTAGTAAAATTTTTAAACCTGATACTGAATGCTCACCAGTCAGAAAAACCAAGATGTCTCCAGCCATTTCATTCAAATGGATATCCATGGTCACTTTAACAATCTAAAGCAAGAAACACAAGCATAATATGCTGATGGAAATAGTCCCCCACTCCCAACCACCTCCCCTTATTCCACAGAAAAATTAAATTTGGTTCTCGAAACTTCTAGGACCTATAAGGGCCGCCATTAAAATAAAAGGGAACAAACAAATTACTGAACTACTCAATCAACTAGAATCATAAATATAAAAAAAGACACAAAAAGGATGCCAAGTAATACCGCTTGAATATATGCAGTATTTTCTCTGTCTCGTGGGCCAATCAAATTGCAGAACTTTTCTCTGACTGGATAAAGCCTTCCAGGTATATCAAATATTGGACAATTTCCAAAGAATGTAGAGAGCTTGGCTAATTCCATAGTTGCTGACATCACCACAACTTTCAAATGTTCCTTCCTATTAGGAGACTTCTCCTGAAATAACTTCTTCAATAAACCAAATAAGATGTCCTGAAAAAAAAGTAAATTTCTAATAAGTCACGAGTACACCTACCAACCAACTTATTTTAAATATCTTGCTTTCCTAACCAAAGAATTCCTATTTCAATAGAATAAAATGTAAGTAAGACCAAGCAATTCTCTACAGGGTAAAAGCTACCCCAAATAAGTAAACTAATAAACAACCAGCATATTAAAATACTCACTGTAGTTAGAGTCCTCTCATGGGCTTCATCTAAAATGATGACACTGAACTTGGTAAGATTTGGATCTCCCAAAATATGTTTCAGTAAACATCCATCAGTCATATATTTGATTGCAGTTTCCTGATGTTCAAACAGCAGAGTGTATCAACTTATATATATATAGTGTTAGAGAAATTCACCCTTGCTTTGCATACTAAATTCCCCCCCAAATGTGCAGCCATTAAGTGATCCACCTAATCTGACTAAATAAAGTATATAAATTAGTCTAATAACAAGGACGGTAAATTGTAAAACTTGTGATCTATACAGGGACAGAGATAAGGAACTAAGGTGGATTTTCTGGGATAAAGCAACAGAAGGGGCCAATAAGGAGGTATAAAGTAGTCTGGGGAAAGTGGTAAGATAATGCAATGGCTTCCCGTGAGCAAGTTGTGGGAAACAACAATGAAATGGGATCCATCTCCCTGTCTCAGCCACTATTTCTTTCTTTTAAAGATTTTTTATTTATTTTTTGACAGAGAGGGAGACAGCGAGAGAGGGAATACAAGCAGGGGGAGTGGGAGAGGGAGAAGCAGGCTTCCCGCCGAGCAGGGAGCCCGACGCTGGGCTCGATCCCAGGACCCCGGGATCATGACCCAAGCCGAAGGCAAATGCTTAACAACTGAGCCACCCAGGCGCCCCTGAGCCACTATTTTAGAGGACTCAGAAGAAAAGGCAGAGGAAATAGTTAGGTGCACAATTTCCTCTCACTCTCTTTCTTCCCTATTTGCTTATTTTATTTATTTTTTTTCAAGATTTATTTATTTTTTTGACAGAGGGAGACAGCGAGAGAGGGAACACAAGCAGGGGGAGTGGGAGAGGGAG